CAAGACACGGAAACCAAGGCAAACTTTCCACTGATCAAAGCGCTGTTTATATATATATATATATATATATATATATATATATATACAGTTTATATTCATTAACCAATCACTCAGCGTGTGATTTCGGTTTACATCAAACGTCAAAAAATAGAATGTTGAAATAGATATATCGTATTCTTTTTCTAATGTCGGATTGGACTGTATGAATATGTGAGAATAATATTCCGTTGGCATACATTGTCCGTATCACACCACCACACATAGGTTTAAGACTTGACTTTCCTTACAAAAAGAGCAATTAGTGTTACACGCATAAAAAGCAGACACTGCAATTGTGTCATCAAATGAGGATAATAACAGAATGCAAAATATCGTCTTCATCTAAAGCAGGAGGTCGAATAAATTGTTTAATTCGATGTAGTTACGCTTACGTACCTCTGTAGCTGACTCATACAATACATTTGCCTCAGTATCAATTTCTGTACAATAAGGATCATGGAGAGCTAAGGATAAGGAGAGCAGTATATAACAGTAACACTCTCGTAGTGTCTGATTTTGACTATGAGTCACACAGACAGATGTCGAATGTTGGTTGGTGTCCATACAACAGTTAAAGCCAATGAAACATATGGACAAGCAGATCAGCACGTAAGACCTTGGGAATAAATTCATCAGTTTTATTCAGTATCCTTTGGAAGAGTACATCAGAAATAAATAAAACAGAACAAAGATCAAAGAGAGATAAATGAAAATAGGAGAGGAAATCATCAAAACTGTGGGAGAAAAAGGAGTGAGGACATCCACACAATGACACATACAGTAGACTTAACACCACAGAGACTTATAATCAATATCGTTCAGATAAATAATGACTAACTGGAGTTATCAATTACATGCCTTTAACTATTTTTCTATCTAATCTATTTCAGTTAACACTTTTCACATTTAAGAGTTCTTTTATGAAATGTGAAACATTTTAGCCGCTGAGAATTTACATGATCTATTTTATACCTTTGTGTTCCAAGTGAAGCGTAAGCCTTCAAGTTTGAACTTTGAAGTTTCAGTGGCAGTGGTTTTTTTTTCTTTTTATGGGGTGCCCAACCTTCCTCCTTTACCGGTCTCACTACCGGATAGACAGAGAGGTAAGGTTTAGAAGTTCACTGGCCGGGAATCGAACCATGGACTATTTGCGTGGTTGCACTGAACCATCGATGCTTTCATAAATTAACTTACTTTTTGAAAATAATTACGCTACTTCCAACTTCAACACGACTTATCACGAAGACAGACATTCATAGTCAAAGACTAAACATAATCATATCTCGCCAGTGAAGAGACGAGTGCTTCATATTTTATTTCTGTTCAAATTCGGCTAAGACAGATGATACAAACAGAGTGTTTAAGAATGAATAGTTCACTTGGAATATTTAATTATTAGTCACTATTGATTTCGGTATTTTCTTATTACTACTAAAATTTATAAAAATATTCTTATCAGTAGTAGTGAATATCTGAAATATGTTTATCAGAACAGAACTTTGGATACTTCAGAAAAGCACAGCAGATAATGCCTCATAAAAGAAGTGCAATAAAAGTGTAATAAATGCGAGATAGAATGACTACACGAAGAATACTGAAGATTTTCAGAATCTGAAAGATCAGGAAAAGTGAACACATTCGCTGAATGAGTCAGGATGAGATTTTAAGCAGTTTACACATAAACTTATACACAAATACATACAGCATTCTGAGTGTATTCGGGAAATAAGATAAACACAACTTTTTTTACGGAATACCAATTGAGTTTTAGGAAAAGATGTGCTTTGGTTTTATATACCTATAAACTTGTTTATTTCGAAATTCTCTTTACAAAGTGATTCTGAAACATATCATTAGCTTGTAGAAAAACAAGGAGTGTGCAGTGATATTTTAAACTGATTTCGTCGTCTAATCCACATACAGTGGTCAGATACTATGATTAAACTGAATTCTGATCACCCATCATTTTCAAAGCAATGAAACTGTAGCCTTTATTCCTGGTGCATGCCTAGCCATCTCCTTTCTCGACATGCAATGTTTACAGAAATGCAATTATTTTGGAAAAGGGTTATGGGTGGTCAAACTTGAACCTGGCATCAATCCATGAAGTCTTCCACAGTTGATGTGGGTCACTTAGGGAGGTAAAGGCTGCCTGATTGAGTCCTTGTGATGATAAGAACTAATAGCTGGAGACTATTGGTGTTATGGCTCAAAATCTCTCTCAATGGCCCAGATTCATTAATTCTTTGTGATCTGCCATACCTATCGTAGCCTAATATTTTTCTCCCTTATATTTTCTGCTAGGCATAGTTCTTTTGAACCTCTTTACCTCTCTTTCCCCTACCCTTATGTGCAACATGAAATGTAGTAACTTGAACTGCTGTACTTCTGTGCAATGTTCCATGTTGAAACTCACTTGAACATTTAGAAACAAGAGAAAAGTAGTATGTAAGTTATTGGGTTTGTAAGCAATTCACAGATTGCAAGATCAACATAGTCACAAGCTTACATAAGAATAAGAAGCATTGAAAACTGAGCAGAACTGGACGGTGATGTGACTTGCGTTAGGAGTTTACCCGTAATGCTAACCGACTGAACTACATGGGGTGAGCCTCGCAGCCAGCAGATTCCAAGGGGAATACATTAATATTCAACCATGGTGTCTAGTTAGTAAATTCAGGATGACACATGCAGATATTAGAATAATCGAGTATCGCAATTCACGATGTGTACTCTTAGATGTCTAAAAGTAACGCAAAAATCTGTAAAACTTGCTTCCATACTCTCTAGCACTCACAATACGATCTCAAATAAATTGGTTTAGATTTAGACTTTTTTTTCTATAAATGTCGCTCATGCTTATAATCTAAGCAGTTGTTATACGGGAAAATTTAAACAAATCCTGGGTCACATCAATTAACCTAGAGACTAGTTTTTAAACATCTTATCTGATAAACTTTTGAGTTAAAATTTAAAGAAAAACGAACTAAAATAACTGAAAAATGACTACTTTGAGTCTACTCGTCATTTCAGCGTACAATTACAACTGTGGTATTCAGTTGCTTCAGTGAAATAATAGAATTTTGATTGTATGGAGGATTTAATCATGAGCTGACATCAGTTAGAGAACCACTGGAAAACCTGGGAGTACTGGACAGCTGTTTCGTCCTAGTTTGGGACTCCTCAGCAGTACACACTCACTGGGGTTCGAACCCAGGACCTTTTAGTTACAAGGCGAGCTCGTAGACCATTGAGCCACTGGGACCCGACTCAATGGCTCTTGAATTCTAACTTCTGCCAATTCACGACATATCACGACCACTTCGCAATATTGACGAAAGTAAAGTTGTATTATACAACGCTGGACTGTCTTTATTATACCATAAACTGTAGACAAATTATCAATGATAAGTACAGACATACAAAAATGTACAAGCATTCAAACACCACTACCACCACCACCACCCCCCACAAGGTAGATAGACATTATCACTATATAATGACCCATGTTCCCATATTCCATATTTGCACATCAGAATTAGCAGAAATAGCAACAGATGTTATAGATAGGCAAAAGGAAATCAGAAATCAGAATAAACAGAGGAATATGTATAATTTAATGGTTTTGATGGATATCATCAATTCAAAGTAATTTCGCCTTAGTTCCCTTTGATAACTTTTTGACGTAGTTGTGTTCTCTGAGCTGGATGGTTTATTTGAAAAGCTTTCAATGGCCTACTAGGCAATATCTTCAGCTCATATTTCAGTTTTAAATAAGCTTTTAGATTTCACCACGAGTTTATTACTCGTCTCTCCTCATTTATCAATAGACACAACGACATAAACAAAATTTACCAATCGATAAGAATGAAATCTCACACACAAAGGGTCAATCAGGTCAAGGAAACAACCAACATCAATTCAAGTAGCTTAGATGATGTGGAAACACAGAAAAAAAAACAATCACAATCAAGATTACCAGGAGAGGTGACTTGTAAAGTCGTGGCAGAATTTAAAAGCTCACTTCAAATTGATGTATGCTCTGTGGATGTTGCCTAGTAAGATAATGAAAGCTTTGCAAGTAAACCGACTAGCTGAGAGAACACAACTACACCAAAATCATCCACCTGAGCTACAAATCTTCTCCATCATATTTAGTTTGATAACTGCCCTGCATAGATCGCATATCCAAAAGGTTTATACGGCTAAGGATAGCAATTACAGTCCTCGAGTTTTGATCACGGGTTGATATCACTTGGAGAAAGGTTACATTACAGTCTTGATTAGTTGATTTCACTTCCCTGAATTTCTCAACTTACGCTTACTTTCAGCGTAATCCTATTCCAGTCCCAGCTAACACTGAACACAAAGGTGTCATCTTAATATCTAGAATGGGAAACAGAACGGAATAATTCTCATAATGGTACTGACCTTCACAACCTAGAAGTCTAACTATAAATCATAAACCATAGAACATCTGAGACCATTGGCTGGATACCAAAGAGCCTTGTTTGAAGTGAATATACCAGTGGCAAGTACACACTAGCAACTTTTCTTTCTCGAAGACAACAATAACTGATTTTTTTACATTCTTTCACTCTTTTTTACTAATGTCTCTGTTTCATATTATTCTTTCGTCTTCATTGACACTGTTTCTGTCTTGCAAGCACCTCTCTTTGTTGCACAACTTGAACTAATCTATTATGGTGTCGGATTTTACCTCAGCTATACACAGGTGTCTTAATCTCATCAGATGAAATGGATTTGCATAAAGGCTTCTAAAAATCAAATAAATAAAATAGTGGGGAATTGTGTTTCAAGCTAAATGAAAGATATTCCTCAGGGAAAATAAGCAAATATAGGTTATACAGACAAATTAACCATTCTTGCTTATTTCACATTTTAGGAAAAAAAATCTCCTCAGTAGTAATAGAACTATTCATACAGATAATAGTACTCACTTTGTGTTCTTCAATAAGCGTTTCCAGTTTAGCTCGTTCTAAGTCTAGTGAACGAAGAGATGAACGAAGTTCTTGTCCTGTTCTAGTCAACGCATCAACACGATGTTGCAACTCTTCAATTTGATCTTGTCTTCTTTGTCTACATTTAGCTGCTGCAACCCGATTACGCTCACGTCGTTTAGCCCTTCGTCTTGCTTCATCATCACTAACCTAATTATTTTTAGAAAAATAATAAACAAGAAACATAAAACTATTCAGGAAAAATATTGTAATTACGATTATTAGATTACAAACTGAAAATTAATAACAAACAGCTCTCAGTGACTTACACAGTTCTGAATGCTACTGAAAGCCGACCAGGAAGGCAGTATGGAACTTTTCCGAAAGCACTGAAAAATGATCTACACACCTCAGCCAATATCATCAATCCACTGCTTCAGAAAGTTTGGAAGCAAAAGGAAAGTTACCTACCAATTAGAAGAAACGATACCTTGTCAAACTATCAAACAGGAGAGACTCAAGTCTTGACTAAAACCCGCTCGGAATCATCCTCCCATTCACGCCAAACAAAATATTAAGTCGAATCATCCTGAACACACTAAAACATCTTATGAGTGCTAAACTCCGCTGAGAACAAGATGGATTCAGGAAAATCAAACCATCTAATGATCAAATTCCAGCTCTAGTCATCATCATCATCTAACAGAATATACAATGCCTTTCAAAATTATATCTCATCTTCATCAATTCTGAAATAGCTTTCAACGGAATTGACCACGAATCAGTTTGGAAACTACTTCAACACGACGGAGTGCAGTGCTTCCAGCCTCCATCAACCTCATTCAACAGCTGAGTGATGATGATGTCACATGTCATGTGATCTACAACGGAAAACTCAGTGAAGCGTGCCTTCGAAGTGAAGACAGGAGTAAGGCAAGGCTGGGTATTCTCACCATGAATGATATTCTTAGTTATGGTAGACTGCATTATGCGTCAGACTGTGAGGAGTGAGCAGACAGGAATACGTTGGACCGACAATAACACTCTAGAGGACTTGGACTTTGCGAATGATTGACGTCTAACGTCACATAAACTCGAGGACTTACAGCCGAAAACCAACAAGTTGTAAGAAGAAGCGGCAGCGAAAACAATACTTTAAGTGAACATAGGTAGCAGACAATCTCTCGTTTCTTTTTTCACAGATTCAAGTGTATGTGAATAATACTGTGTACTGGTCAACATTAAAAAAGTAATACCTAGATCGATGATCATTCTGTGACTAGTGTAAACACTTAACTCATAAAAGTTATTATCGAAGTAATTCAGTGATGTGGTTTGGGTTTGTGGACCACGTTTTGATTTACATTCCACTTCTAAAGTATGATGATTCCCTGGTTTTCTAGGACAAATTAGTTTGGACGGCGAAATAGTTAGACGACAGTGTGGATCAAATGTTGGAAGAAATTAAACACTGGATTCCTACGGACTGGTTCACTTAGAAAGCTGACTGTTATGAGTTCAGTGTTTCTTTGATTCTTGGATCAGCAATGTTTACCAGCAATCGTCAGAATCTCGCAATTCTCATACACAAATTATATAAAACGTATTTATTACAGGTGGCACGGATGAAGATTTCAAAGGCGGGATTGGAAAGGCTATGAAGGCTAGACCTTCATCACTCCGAAATCTGGTGTAAAGAACGAGATGAAGCGGCCAGAAAGGATTAGCAACAAGAAACTCTGCCAACAAACTAATCGAGAACTTATTGTTCAACAAATAACCCGAAGTAAATAGAGATGGATCGGAGACACACTGAAGAGATCGCTGAGTCATACGGCGCACCAGGCCATTGCGCGAGTAGAACGCGAAAGGGAAATATCGATTTATGCATCTGAAAGTGATATGGAGTAGATATTGTTAGGAGGAGACGATAGCTTATGGGCAATCGTGGAGCCAGCTAAAGATTACTGCAGTTCAAGCTACTATTCAGAATCCAAGGGAACAATAGTAAATTTTCAAGCATTGGTTTTGTAAGGACTTTTGTTTGATTGGTTGGAGATTTTCCTCACGAGTTGACATCAGTTAGAGAACCATTGGAAAACCTGCAGGGAGTGCTTGACAGGGAAGCCGTGACCAGTAGGTTGCAGAAGGTTGAAGGTGAGGCAGTAACTTATCGAAGAAGACATTGCGAGGTGGTCGTGCTGTTTCATGAATTGACAGAAGTTTTAATTGATGAACTGGCCATTGGATCAGAGTCCCAGTGGCTTAATGGTCTACAAACTCTCTTTGTAATCAGAAGGTCCTTGGTTTGAACCCCGTTCGGTGAGTACTGACGAAGAGTCCCGAAATAGGGCGAAATAGCTGTCCACTACTCCAAGGTTTTCCAATGGTTCTCTGAACAGTGTCAGCTGATGATGTAATCCTCAATCCAATAGTAAATTTATCATATTATAGCAAGTAATTCACTTTTGTACACAATGGGCGCGGCTTAAAATACTGTACACAAATATCCACATGATTATTCAACAGCATTCGTCTACCTAGTTTATTTAAATTTTAATAAGTAAATGACTTGTGACAAAATAAAGATGAATAGTGTTCAAATGAAATCTATGTACTAAAAACTATTAAGACTGTCGACAAATAAAAAACAAAAAAAACTTCAAGATACCCAAAAGGGGGGAAGGGGAAGAAAACAAACGTAAATTTTTAAAATAGAATTATTCACATCGTCATAGGCACTGTAATCGCCCGATTACGTTTCCGTTGAAAAATTCATATTGCATATTGATTTTTGTCTTCCTAGCTCTGAATCACTGGAAAATACCATAGCAACAAGCCTTTTTCTAATACACGTAAGGTATACACGCCCAATTATGAGAAAATACGCCGCCCAGTAGTAAGAAAGTTATGTTATTATTAGGTATTATTACTATTGCTAAACACTCAGTGTAGATAGTTCACTGGGTAGTTCCAAGTTTTTACATATATATATATATATGATCACAGCAGTATTCTACAGCCCTATATTAGAAAAAAAGAGTCTTATTTTTAAAACGAAATAATATACATACATGGTAATGTGACTACTTATCAACTAGAAGGCGAGAAAAGTTGACTACTGTGTTTTGAACAAAAATTAAAATAATGATAATATTGTATTCATTGTGTATTGTACAATCATTTCATGAAATACTAATAAACTGTCTACGAATAATTTTTGGTTTTAATAATGTAGTGAAAACAATAGCGGTGCTACTAATCTTTCGATCAGAAAAAATTACCGGAATCGTATTGTTGTTGAAGAAGGAAATAATTTTCTGTGAAAATATTCATTTTCATAAATATGATGTAATTCGCATTTGACAAACTCTACACTTCGAAACATACTCAGTCCAGTTCGCATGTGTGTGTGGGGGGTGCGTGTGGTCAGCAGGAAGACAGGTGTTAGGCAGAAGAGATTTTAGAGATACACAAAGATGAATAGTTTGGACAAGTATTGTCTTCCGAAATAAATATTGTTTCACAACAAATTATGACTATGTTACATAAGTCTACGTAAGACGATAAATCAATCAGAATGATTTTATTTTAGAACTAGCATAAAGGCGGTGTCTAGGTCAGGAGGACGACGATTTTCCACAGACAGACTTGGTGACAAATTTACCGCTGACCTCATGAATAAGAAAGGGAATACGTCGTTAAGTGTGATTGTAAAACATCCACAATTAAATTTGATTGCAGTAAAAGTTAGCAATTGTAAGTACATTACTCAAGTCGCAAAATTCAGAAATTTCATTAAAAAATCGTAAAACGTATGCCATCAGATCAGTGTAATACTTTGATCAGCTCAATTAATGGATTCCTGAGTCATTCATTTACTTAATTCAATAATACACATGAAGATGAATGATAATTAACGATGAATTATAAAAAGTTGTTCAACTGACCGATCACTTTTACTTATGTGTCCTTTGCTTGGACGATAGGTAGTCACTAATGCCATGCATCTATTCTTCTGTTTGGTGCAGACTTAATTGCATCAGTCAAGTCTGAACTATGTCCAATATGCTAGGTGGCTCAGGGTTCACTATGAACTGTTGTCAGATAGTTGGAGACAGTCGGTAGAATTAGATACATAATGCTAGTATCCAACCACAGCATCTAATACAGTCCTACAGGAGGTCAATTACGAGCTGGAATAATTCAATGGTAGCGTCTCTGATTCAGGCACTGGGTAAGCCGAGTTCGAATCTCAGAAGAGACATGTGTTCCTTCAAGATTGCGGGTACGCCTTGTTGACGAATGCCAAGAAGTACAACATCTAGGACAGAGGCATCCCGCCAACCAACTAACACTTTAAATTTATACAGGACAATATTGTTAATCAGCTAATCGAAGGTTAAGCTAAGTGCATGATGAAGACGTCAACAGCCTTTCCCCACCACTTGTTTTCAATGATCAGAAAGAAAATGTATTCCATGATAAATCCCAAACCACAAAACCTTACTCTTTTTTTCAAATAGAGGGAAGGCTTTTGCTTACACTTTTTCTCGATTAAAAACTTACTCTACTACTATGCTGGATGTCACTTAAAATCATTATTGGTTTGAAAGACAAGATAAGCCAATAAATAATAATATGAACAGCTTAAAAATTGTAGTAAATTTATGTTTTAGAAAGTTATTGTTTCGGTGTAATAATAATAATAATAATAATAATGCACAAGTAGATATGGCTCTACCCTTACTTATCAACTGAACAGAATCATCCAGGCAAAAAATCCTATTTCTAATTAAAGGTAGCAGTAGTTAAGAATGATATTAGAAGTGAAATTTACAGTTTATGATAATGATTTCGTGTATTTCTCTAGTTGAATAGTCTGGTGGCCAATTTTTCACTTCTAATGTAGGTCCAATTAATACTCATTCATGCATTGATTAGATTAAGTAGGTAGACAAAAAATACCAGGTACATGGTAAAATCTCTTTTTATTTGTGATCTTATCTGCTAGAATGTCCAACAAACAAAAATGTATTCATAATTGTTATTTCCTATTACTTGTCGTGGTGAGCTGAAACAACTGGTCTTTCAAGATACTTCATGGAATCATAAAACGAGCTGCCCCCCTCATACGGTAATCCGTTTATTGTCAATTTAAAGTTATTTGACACATAGTCAACACGTCCCAGAGAAGAAGAAAAACACCT